AATATATTCAGATATGTCAATGTACATATATATGAAATGTATATATGTAGTCATATATATCCATTGAATTTGGAAAGTGACAGGGAAAAAGGCAAAGCTAATTTCGCAATTCTAACACTTGACTAGAAATAGTGATTCTGTAGATCTATAGGTACATCTATGATATAGAGATACATATATGTGTACATACGGCCATATACAGACTACATACAGGAAGAGCGCATGCACACATGAGAGAGCTGTACTGCCCAGTTAGTTTCACGCCAGGTCAGTGTAGCTGTAGCTATTTTCCCTCTACCTCCTCTATGCAAGCTACCATAGAAACAAAACCCAAAAGAGGCTGGTTTTGATACTCAGTTGGCCTAGTATCTTTCTAGGTAATACCGCTCTGCTTTGGGGTGGAGGTGAGAGGGTAGAACATAGGTTCTCTGTTGTTTAATTAAAAAATACTGGGGCTGGGGATTTAGCTCAGCGGCAAAAGCATCTGCCTGGCATGCGCAAGGTCGTGAGTTCGGTTCCCGGTACCGGAGAAAAACCAAAAAAAAAAAAACCAAAAAAAAAAAAAATACTATGGCTTGATATATTTTGGAATATAGATTTAAAACAGAATTTTTAAGGTGATGAGGGACATGCACCTTGTAGTATATGCATGTCCACAAAGATTTGACTTGGAGATTGCTTTTAACATGTTGGAATATGAACATTCACACTGAGTGGGACAAATAAGACTTGTTGTCAGGTCAATCGTTCAGACTTTCGATTTTTGGAATTGTGTCTAAGTATGAGCTTAAGTGGCTTAAATAGTGAATTAAAAGGAATTATGAGTTACATTCAGGAAAAGAACATTTCTATGGATGAGTGTCAGAAAAGGTAGGATTTCATTTGAAGGGTTAGCTGGAACTGTATTTTACTCCTTGCTCAGTCTTGGGCAGCTAGAATTGCATGTGGCAGATATTTGGTGAGTAAATATATATGGCAGATGAAGTAAACTTATGAAAATAAGGGGTAGAATGTCCCAGCTGGGGGAGACTTCCTCCTGAATGTAGTCATGAAGGAGGGTGTGAGCTTGGTTGGTTGAGGGCAACAGCGGACTTCTCTAAGGTGAATACTCTGGAAAGAATAAGTAGGTGAGGTGGCGCCCACTGTTGGTGCGTGTGTGTTTTAGCCTGATGTGCTTTTTAGGCTGGGGAAGGTAACCTCGTCTGACTTGTCCTTCACTTTTAGAATGGGATTGTGGGGGACCGCAGATAGTGAAAGTGATGTGAACAATAAAAAGACAGGAAATAAAGAGAAGATGGCACTGGGAATGGATGGTGGTGGTGTGTGTGTTTCTTGGCAGGGATTCCTTACTGTATGAGCCTAAAGTTCAAGGCTGCATTGAGGAGGCAGAGGTTAGTCTGTGGCTTTTAAAGAAAAAGTGGACATTGACCCCTTGAATTTGGGACGTGAGAGGGAAAAAGTCAAAGCTAATTTCACTAGAAATAGTGATTGGCTGAAAGAGGGATGTTTGGACAAGCTGGAAAGGGCCTGCTGAACCCACTAGTCTGACTTGGTGTGTTGGTGGGTTTGTATTCTTCACTGTATTTGATAGTTTTTGTTGTAGTTTTGGATTTTGCAAGGGGAACAATACAGGACGTATGACTTACAGAATTATTTTATAATAGTCATCCAAGGGGTCGTATACAAAGAGAGTGCAGGAAATCTATCCACACACTAAAGACCAGAACAATCCAGCCAAGGGCTTGGATCCTGTGGCAGTGTCCCGATGAGTCCAGTTGAAGACCTAGAGCCCAGAACAGCACCCCCCATGAGTCCAGCTGGAGGCCAAGAGCCCTTGACAATGTCTCGCACAAGTCTGTTTCATGGATCTAAACTGGGAAGGCCCAAAGGTCAGTGATAGAAGCTAGAAAGTCTGTGCCTATGGAATGAAGGCTGTGTGCCAGCAGGCTGAGGGATCTGCACTGGAGCCAGGAAGCAACAAAGTAAAGACAGGGCTCCCTGGAAAAGTACCACAGCCATTGTACCCATTGTACCTCAGCGACAATGAGGTCCTGACTCCTCTGATGGTGAGAACAGCTGAGTCCATAGCAGGAACACCGGTGTGACAAGCTTTTCCAGGACATTGAACAGTGCACTGTCCTCCCCTCTGGAGCCAGGAAGTGATGCTCAGAGTAAGGACCAGATCTCCCCAAGGTAACTGAAGCCCTTCTCAGTGGCAGCTAGGTCCCAAGCTCCTTTGACGATGATAACAGCCAAGTTCATCAGGAAAGCCAGCATGACAGTCTCCTCCAAGAGAACTGACAGCTCCAGAAACTCCCTAACAGCTTCTCTTCTTGTCCAGTTCTCTTTTATGCCACTGGCAACAAACCTTAGGTGGGCCTCCCACACCCAGCACCGCCACTGGCTCAGTTCAGTTACAAGTTGACTACTACGTTTCTGTATGAACACAATGTGCTCCTCGATATGATATATGTTCCAGTTCTTATTTTGTAGTCCAGAGCCTTTAAGAACAGCATAATAAGAAACAAAAATTCTACAGGACTTAATTATTTTACGTGCCATTTCCAAGCAGCTTTTGTAGGAAATTTATTTAAATTTCAATAAAAAAAAGAAAAACTGTTGAGCAGCTTTACTTCCACCGTGCACCTTTCATCATGCATTAGCAATTAACTTTACTTCTCTCAGGTTGATGAATTTGAACTTGATCAATTATCTGATAGTAATTCCCGGCATAGCGTGATTATTATTGCTGAAGTAACATTCTTATTTCATCTCTCCGCACACTAGAAGCACCTTTCACAGAGGCACACATTTGACTGCAGCATATGACTTGCTCTTTTGGCTTCTGGCACTGAGGTCAAACTTGTTAAATAGAGTTGTATTGAGCAAATTCCCTGGCGTTTTAAACAAAGTGGGCATGCTCTCTGGCTCCGGAAAGAGGCTCGGGCTATTCTCCTGTAGCGGGCGGGAGTGTTCTGTTTTTGTTTTTTGGCAATTTGCTTGTCTTTTTTACCAACTGCCGCCAGGGCTGTGCTGCCCTTTGCACCTGTCTTGGGGCCTGGAAATGTCTGCTGCTGGATTCTTCAGCATTCTGAGCAGACTCGTGCTGGGCCAGGGGCCTTCGCTCTCTGCCTCCTCTGAGCTGAAGTGAGATCACTGAGAAAGCTGTGTGTATCAGCTTTCTAAGCTGCCGTAACAAGGTACCTGTGGGGTTCTAGAAGTCCACTGTAAAGCTTTTGGCAGGGCTGATTTCTTTTGAGGCTTTTCTCCTTGATTTGTCTGCTTCCTGTGTCCTTTGGTCTTCTTTCTGTCACTGTCCCTGTCTAAGTGTCCTCTCCTTTTAAGGACACCAGTTAAATTTGACTGGGGAACACCCTGATGACCTTGTATTAAATTAATTACCTTCTAAAAAGACCTTATCTTGAAATACAGTCACATTCTGAGGTGCCAGGGGGTCGGGGACTTGAACATACAGATTTGGGAAGTCAGAATTTGGCCTGTAACCAAAGGAAAAAGAGGACATTTGAGAAGCTTAACAGATGAATAAGGGTGAATCAATAAAAGAGAAAAAGGAGCAAAAGAAAACGCTGATTTTAGCAAGGAGTGATGAAAGTTTGAGCATGTACAGGCCATTGTAATTTACAGAACATGTGCTGGAATCATTTTGTTTCCCTCCCAGCATAGCATAAGGCGTAGGAGGCTGCCTTCATGTGACATGTAGCACTCAGACTCAGAGAGGCTTCCTGAATTTGCTTTTAATTAAGTGTGGTGAGCTAGACTCAAACACAGTCCTTACACCACTGGTGGTGAACCTCAGCAGGCTGTGTGTATCACTGAAAGCTCTGAAAAGTTCCCTTGCCATCATTGCCTTTGGCTTGGTCAAGTATTCTTTTCTTACCCCAGGCAAGGAGGTGGAAAGAACGTTCAACTCCTTTGCAAACTCTATGGTCTTTTTGTTGTGGAAGCTTTGGACATGGGAGTTTCCAACTTGTTGTGTTCTTATTTAACAAGTTTATAGTGCAGAAATTCATGTTAGGCTAGAAAGAGAGGAGGTAGAGGGGCAGGGAGGAGGAGGAGGATGGGAGTTTTCATGTATAAATCAGTACGGAGATGGACTAAGTGAGCTCCTGCATTCTCATCACGGAGACTCAGCAGTTGTGTAGCTTTGATCACAGTTGCATCGTCCATGCCTTTCTACCCGTCAAAGCAAATCTAAGATTGGTTACTTCTACCTATTCCAGGGTACAGCCCTAAGTGGACATTTTCATTGCATAAGCTCAGTGCTCCTCAGAGTTTCACTCTTGCTTCAAAATTGTCATTTATAGTAGGTTTGCTCTGATCAGAATCCAAATAAGGGCAGCTGTTCAGTATCCTAAGTTATATTGGACAGTGGCTTTTCTTGCCTCTGACTGTTCAGCTCAAGGACACCTGATGTTTAGATCCCCACAGAGAGAGGATGCATTGAGTTGGTTTATTTTGCTGTAAAGTGGGTGGTGATTCACACTTGGGCAGAGCATATGATGATTTTTTTTTAATAGTTCAATTCTGCTTTATTTTTGACTGAATTTCCAGGTCTTCAGGAATCATCCAAGCAATGATTGCTTTCTATGTACTAATCACCATATTATCTTTAAAAGGTTAAAATAAAACTTTCCAAGAAAAATGTAAACAAGTAAAGAAACAAAAATCCACGTGTTTTACTGGATCTTTACAAATTGCACTGGGAGGCATTTTAATGTATTCACAGTGCTTGACTTTGATTCATTACATTTTTGTCCACAACGAACATTGTTTTCTGAGCTTATTTTCCAACCACAACTCATGAATACGAAGCTGGTAAAACAAGTTGGTAAACATTGTTTTTGTCAAGTGTTATTTTTATCTTCAACAGGAATGCTGCTAATGTGAGTTAGCAAAGATTCGGATGCAACTATTTAGTGATGACAGCTTTTGAAATACCATAGTCTTGTGTTTTGCTAACATTGTGTCTCTTCCAATAGGTATAAATGACCAAGGATTATACAGAGTTGTGGGGGTGAGTTCAAAGGTCCAGAGACTTCTGAGTATGTTGATGGGTATGCCTCTTTTCTAATCATTTTTCCATGATTTGTTTATGTTCATTGATTTCACACCTTAATATGTCATAGTAATGTGTCTCATACTGGTGAATCCATTCTTCTGCTTAGATGAACTGTCTCCTGAGCAGAGACCGTTGACTTAGATTAGTATTTGCATCAGTTTAGGTGATCTCCTTTGTCGTTTATTAAGAGATAAAGGAAAAAAAGCATGAGGCTCATGGGCTGCTTCCTGGGCACATCTCTCCCACTGCTTGCTTCCCACAGCAAAGTGGCAGTCAGGGCTCTGTGATTTGCACAGCTTCCAAGTCGCCTGTCCAGAATCTTGACGGTACATGTGGTTGGACAAGACCACTGGGATTCGCTCATTCTTACGGAGCTTCCAGAACTGTCATTTGACAGCAAGGGTCTGAGTCTCGGGGATTCATTGGTATGCACAGTGGCGTGTTTGTAGTTCGCACCAGGCGCTTCTCCAGAACCATGCCTGCTCCATCTGTGCTGATAACACAGTGTTCTTTGGCATCGCAGACTGAGGAAGCCAGAAAGTGAATTCATTTCATTACCCCAGATGTTATGTGAATGACAAAGCACTTTTCCATTACACACTATTGTCAGTTCAGTGCCACCTGTAAGACACACCACTTCTCCGCAGCCCCAAAGCCTGCTGCCTCTTGGAGTGATGATGGCTCATCAGGCTGGAGGCTTAGCAAACCATTCTGTCATCCTGACCTTGCTCCTTATTAATTTATTCACTCTCTCACTTTAATTAATCAGTAGTAACAGTGCCCTCAGGTATGCCATGAATGCTTTTAAACCTGTCTCTATCTTAAAGCTTTGTAGCAAAGACTCATTTCTAGAAAGCATAAACTAAGGTGAACGAAGTCCACCTACACGTTATGGGTAGCACTTGCTTGTTTGGCTGTATTTGAATTAAGGACTTCATAAGCACCAACCTTTTTTGTGATTAACTACAGGAAAAAATTGCCCGTCATCATTTGGAGAGCCTTGTTAGAATATGTTCGCTTTCATGAGCTGTTTTTATTTTCTGCCTCTCTGAGTTGAGTTGGGTGTGCGATTCTGGCAGACATATTTTCCTTTTTACCATTAGTGGGCTCCAAATTAAATAGACTCAGGTTGCCAGGGGTTCAGTAGCAGCTGGAAGAGTTTAATGGGACTACAGCATCTGTTTTTACTTAATTTTAAAATTAGAAACACTCTCTCGTTTCCAATACAGTGTTACAGTGATTAGAACTGGAAAACTCTGTTGGTATCAGAATGGGAGATTTGGCCTGAAAGGTACATTTTGGTGATAAATTTGCCATAAGGATGACATTATTCTCTGTCACCTTCTTGTTCACGTTCAGAGAAAGTTTGAACAAGGGTGCTTCTGCAGTCATTCTAATGTGCTAAGCTGTCTTAAAATTTGTTCTTAATCTCATAAAATCCTACATGCAGGACATTGTCAGATGCAGGCAGGTGATAGGTTCTCCTGCTCCTGGGACATGTCACAAGACAGTTCTTAGCTTATGAGATGTTTTTAAATAACTCCTCCAAAAATTTATGACCTCCTGCGACATGTCACAAGACAGTTCTTACCTTATAAGATGTTTTTAAATAGCCCCTCCAAAAATTCATGACCTGAAAAACTGTCATTACTTTCCATAAGCATCAGAATAGAGAGGTCCAGGGTACAAGTGTGTCACAGCCTCATTCCACTTGCTGGCAGGAGAAATGCTATGTTTTCAGTAATAGTCCGCAAACAGAGGAAGTTCGAGAATTGACCTGGGAGAAAGATCCTGACTTGTTATTTCCTGACTAAACAATTCATTTAAGAGGGCTGTACAGTATAAATTTGTTTTTATTAATCTATAAATAATCCCTACTATGAATTCAACATTATTGATAAAAAACTTTGCATTTGCATTAATGCTGTTTTCATGTTACTTTGTTACCAACACAAACCTTACTCTTGAAAAAATAGATGTATTCAGTTTCCTAATCAGCTTAAGATTTCCTTAACCTATTTCTTTTCAACTTCATTAAGTCTTTTTTTCTTTTGATATTTAAAGAGCATAATAAATGAGAAACAAACAAACAAAACAAAACAAAACACAGTAGCAGCATACCAGTATCACAAACGTAAACAAACCAAAGCAAGAACATTTAAAGTGATACAAGGTTTCAAGACAAAATAATACGAATTAACAGTGGTTGTTATATTACATATCGCTGTTCTCAGCTACGTTGTTCAGATTACCAGATGTAAGAATGAAAGATTGTTCAAAGCGTTACAGAGAATAAGAAAATAATTATTAAATAAAACATTAGAGATAATACAGAGTTTCACTAGACAAGATGGTGGGAATTCACCATGGTAATCCCATTGCCCATTGTTACCTTCAAATTAGTTGCTCAGATTACCAGATATAAGCATGCAAACTTGATCAGAACCTAAAAATTTTAAGCATTGACTGTTCCTTTTAATATACCGTCAGACATCAGCAATATAGTTATCTCAGCTATTCATATATACATTTATATTTTGCCTGCCTTCTTTCTTTTTTCTTCTTTCCCTCATCCCAGTTGTTCCTTCCTTTGAGCAATTCCTTTCTATTGTACGTATATTGTACGTATTCCATCTATTGTACGTATTGAGTTTGGGTTATTCTTTCAGGTTCCTACACCAGGGAGACAATATGATGTTTGTACATGTGGATCCGATTTATTTCACTTATGAGTATGGTCTCTAGTTGTATCCATTTACCTACAAAAGCCTCGAGATTATCTTTTTTATAGCTGAGTAATACTCCATTGTATAAAAATAACACATCTTTTTTATCCATTCCTCAGTGGATGGGCATTTGGGTTGTTTCCAAGATTTAGCTATAACCAATTGTGCTGCTATAAACATGGGTAAATGGACATAAGTTAAGACCTCTTCCAAAAAAGTGTTTTAGAGTTTTGAAAATTGATGTTTATGGGATCCCATAGATAGCTCCAACTTTCCTCACCTCTCTATGTTGTTACTCTGAAGAAGAAAAATAACCAAACCGAAACAAAATGAGTGGACTTACCAAATTTTTAATTTTTTTTTAACCAATCAGCACCTTCTATTATTCCTGAAAGTAACATGTTTATTTCAAATCTGAATTTATCCAAGCCCATTTTGTTTGTGCTGTTTTTCTTTACAAAAATGAAAACTAATCTGATTTTTTAAGTGTCTGAGAAAAAGTTCCAAGCCATCGCATTTTTCGAGGAGTGCTTCCTTGATTTGCTTTAGCTCTTGAGAGCTATTTACTTTAGTTTTTAAAAATGATTCCTATTTTTACATCAAATGTTTTGCATTTTCTGTGTAAAGTGTTTTAAGTGTTCCTTAAATACTCACATGTAAAACTTGGTGGGGTTTTCTAAAGAAAGAATGCATGCTTGAATCTTCTGCATATTCTTGTTACTTGTCTTCTTTCTGTGGTTTATTTTCTCTTTCACATTTAAGGCTAAAATAAGGAAAAATGTTTCTCTCCGTTATTCTCTTTTCTCCCAGCTCCTTCCCTTCAGACTCTCTTTCCTCCAGCTCCTCCTCCTGTCCATTGCCTGTTCCTCCTCAAGTTCTCCTTCCTCCTCCCCCTCCTCCTTCCTCGTCATCTCTCTCACACCAGCATGAGACAGTGATAGCCATTGACTGGGAAAATTTGTCTCAGTAGAGAACTCCTTAAAGCTGTCTCAGGCCAGTTGAAGGAGTGGGCTGGTATTTTCCTCCTGGGTGCTGGGAGTTGTTGGCCTAACGCATTTCCTTCATGCTGGGAGCCCAGGACAACGTTCTGCAATTCCACCAGCCTCTGAGCTTTGCTTAAGTTTCTGAAAACAACAAGAAGAACAGCAGCCCAAAGCCCCACTCAGTGAGTTGAAACATGGAATAGTTGAAGAAGGCAGAGAGAAAGAAGGGGTAAAATGCCTCTGAGGCAGTCATGCCTTTTTAGTAAGTGAGGTGAGAGTATAAGACAGCTAACGGTAGTGGTAGACGAGAACTGATTTGAGTTAGAATTACCTTAGGAGCGTGTTCTTTCTTTCCCACTGTGGAATGAAGCCAGCGCAGGTGAGAAAATGAAGTAGTAATTCATGTGGTCCGGTGGATTTGGTGATTATTTCTAAATCTTACTTGCAAAGCTGGCCACATGTTTTTAGACACTGAACCATAGAAAATAAGAAAAATAATTTAGGTTTTTGTTTTTAAAACATTACCATGTTTATTTTCCTTGTAGGATGATTAGTCATTTGGATTTGGGGCCAAAGTGAACTAACATAGCTGAAAAAATTATGAATTTTGACTATAAAGCATACTTTTCAAAACTCACCCAGTCATTGTGCTTCTTGAGGTACTTTACAGTTGGCCTCAAATGAGTCCATGCTGCATAGGTTGTTAGCTGCTGCATAAGATTGCATTTTGCATTTAGGTTGCTCTGCATATTCAAGTTTGGAAGAAATGACCAAGGGTGATGCAAGCACAAAACATTCACCCGAATAAAAAGTCAAAAACTCTTTGTTCCTATTAGTTTAGATTTTAACTATTCACAGGATTTTTTTTCTTCAGAAAGGAAGCAAAAACTTCCCCTTATTTGTGGTAGAACATATAATCTCAGTGAACACTCCAAACATATTTTTATGTTGGAACCCCAAGTAAGTTATTAACAAATTCTACCTAGTCCCAATGCATCCACCAGTTGTTAAGGAGTACTGGGGATGGTTGAATTACTTGAAAACAGTAAAAATCTAACAGAGGATTAATAATATAGACACTGTGAAGTCATCAGCTTCTGATATGACAGCTGTTTTTTATTCCATGAATTTAGAAGGATGGCTTATTTTTCCATGAAAAGAATACAATTCTCAAAATATAGAATGATAATTTGGTAGACAGTTGGAAATAAAAGATTTCCTTTAGAAGCCTCTTGGATTTTAAAATGGTGATTTGCTGGTAGCAAGTTGATTGAAAATGTTATCTGACTTGTATGTTAAAATGAGATTTAAATAATTGATTTAATGAGAGACAGAATATTCAGTTACAGAAGTAATTGGTTGGCAAAGCCTTTAGAACAGAATTATTTAGTGCTAGTTATAAAGGATTGCATCTTTAATCAGGGTGCTTAATTTGATTTCTTGAATGTATCTGTGGCTTGTCTGACAAGCTCAGTAACAAATGAGTTCTGAATTGTAGGAACTGATCAAAATGTAATCAGTGTCAATTGCCATTGTTGTAGTTTATTGCATATTGCTGTCAGTTGCTGTAATCAAGAAATGTTGAAGTGTTTAAAAAAAAAACTCCAGACCTTTGAGTAATTGTCTTCATCTGTACGATGTTATATCAGTGAAGTAACCATCACTTCCTGTTTTGTGTTCAAGAAGTTTGAGTCTAACATTGAGTTGTCATCCATTCTTTATCCTGGCCAAGCCTCAGACTTTTCAGGGAGCACGAGCAACTTCATGTGATGGTCCCATTTTGACAAGCCTTTATTTTTTAGTGCTTTTAGAAAGGAAGCACTAACAAGATGTTTTTTCTTCTTTATATAGACAACTACAGTGTAAGGGAGAGGGGAAGAAACTAAAACTACAACAGCTAGTTTTTTGGGGTTGTGGTTGAGACATTGTTCAAGGGTGAGGGAGAAGGTTTTCTTCCATGAATTTTGTCTTTCTTCCTTTACAGAGTAGGGATGTAGAAAACTAGGAAAGTTTGTATTGTTGGCTCAATGCTGTTCTTTATAACTCATTTACCACCTACTTCCTTGGGGAAGGGTCTGCTGCCGGAGGCTTATTATCTTTTTAGTGATACAGCTGTGTCAGTAACCTACTGCATTTAACAGTTCATGAAAATGTGTGTATGTTCTTGACTTGCTTTGATTCTCACAGTAGTTCTGTGAGAGCACTTACATGATGTCAGTCGTGGAGATGAGGGTTAGAAGTTGAGACAGGTTTGGGACACCCTTGCTTGGGGCAGCCTGCTGGCCCAGGCTGGCCCAGGCATTGAAGTGGGTGGGATGCCCATGTTGTGCTCCTCCTGCTTCCAGGAATGCTGAGTGTACTGACCAGAGGTGTGGGAATCGAAGACACCACTGTATTCAGGGAGTTTGTCTCTCACACCATGCTTTCTTTTCCTTTCAACTCAGGTTGACTCTCACTGTTCTTTGTCCCCACCCCACCTCCATTTCTTTTGTACCACATAAGAATTTTTTTCTAAAAATTACTGTTTTAAATGGCATTTAGAAGCAGCACATCTTTAATACTTTTAGGATGAGAAAACTAGCTCAGTGTAGAGTGACTGTCAGTGGTGTTATGCAGAAGTGTCCAATAACTTTCCTGGATGAGTGTGTACACTGTCATACCAGTGTGAAAGATTCCTCATAAAGGAACCCTCTCCCTAGTTTAGGTGGCTTTTGTTTAAAATTGATTTTTAACTGACACAGAAAAATATAAAAATTATACATATTAATGGCGTGATGTGATGTTTTCATTCCTGAAAACATGTATTGTTGTAACGTTTTAATCAGGTTAAACCATAAATGACTTTAAGTGTGTGTCATTATTTTTCTCTGTTTTGGTTGGTCATATGTTGTTCTACAGAGAAATAGTATAATGGATACAAACAATGAAATGTGGGACCCACTTTATTATCCTTTCCCCCACTGATCTGTTGCCATTCTATAGTTGTTTTGATGTTCATGGGTCCATCCTCTGGTTACACTGTAATACATAATGCCATGTGATAGTAATAGTGCCACCCAAAGCAAATTAAACTGCTCATCCACCTGAAAATGTCCCATGCCTACGCCACAGCTTCTGAGTAATACCTCTAACGCGATGCTGTTGGTAACATTAGCTGTTCATGAATAAATGCAGCGGAAGGATGTTGAAATGCTATATTCTGATTCTTCTTTACTTCTAGTGCAAACCTCTAGCCTTTTGCTTTGATCTCTACTACAGTTTTCTCAAGTGCTAGAAATGTCTAGAGATAGAACATGGCTTATAGTATTATAAATTGTGTATATATTTTTGTAGGGAACTATAGCACTAATTTGTGGATGACAATTTAAAAATGGAAGCTTTATGAGTTTGTCAAGAGGGCCTTTGAGTGCTCCAGGTTTTAATGAGTTTTTCTTTTTTGTTTGTTCACTAGATGTAAAAACTTGCAGTGAGCTAGACCTAGAGAATTCTGTAGACTGGGAAGTGAAGACCATAACAAGTGCCCTGAAACAGTATTTGAGGTAAGGTCCTCTTTTGTTGGACAGGTGACCTAAAACAGATCACCCATTCTGTACATAAACACCAGTAGTTAAGTTAAATCTTACTAAAAAGAAGAAAATTGATGAGGTATTTAACAGTGTTCCAGAAACTGAGGTAAGTAGTAGATGAACATTAATTGTCAAGTAAATTGCAACAGAGCACAATTGGAATAGATTTGGGTCTTAAAATAGATTTCTATTATAGATGGAAGTTTTATGAATTAAATTCTATGAACCAGTGATAGATGCTGTTTGTTGAATTCCCTGAATCTTTTATTTGTATTTTAAGATGCAGATGATTTTTCTAGTTGGAACTTAATTGATTTGAACAAGATGTTTATAACACTTAAATACAAAGCTACTTATGAAGAGGTTTATTTGATAATGTTTTGAGGTACATTTAAGTTGACCATTTATTATTTATGTAAACAGATAGGACTGGAGTTAGAAAAGAGCTCAGTCATTTTAATGAGTTACTACCCTTTCCTTAAGAAAGAAAAGAATTTAGTAATCAATGGTTTGGAGTTTGATGAAGTAGAGAGAATATGAAAAGAAGTGAATAAAAGACTGAAAAACAAGAGTCACACTGTAACTCCTTGCTGTGGTTCTCTTGAGGACTTTGATTTTTATATGGCAAAAAAAATGGTTGGGCCCCCAAGGTCAGTTATTCTAACTGTACCGACAGTGGTTTTTCATATAAAAATTACTTGAGTTCCAGTGAGCACATTAGAATCACTTATGTTACTTATTATTTTAAAAAATAAGCAAAAACTTCAAATATAGACCAGTGAGACTGATACAAAGACTTCCCATAACACCATCATTCCCTTTCTTCAGTGATCAATATCCTGCCACTGATTTTTTATAATACTTTAAAGACTTTCTAAGACATCATATTACTGCACCCATTAACCCTTGAGTGTGTATCTCAAAAAAGATACAAGACTTCAAAAACGCTACCAGAATATAATTATTATACCCAAGAAAGTTAATATCTTCCACTACTCAATTCATGTTATTTTTACTGATTTTTTAAAAGTCTTTTTGCATTTAGTTTAAATACCACAAGATTTAAACAGTGTTGACATTTCACATGGTGTGTGCATTTAGTTTCTTTTCATCTGTACAATTCTTCCCCCTCCCTCATCACTGGCATTGATTTGTTGATGAACGTAGATTTTTAACTGCTGGTTATTAAACCCAGCACCTCACACGTTTACACATGCTTGGCAGATACCTTACCACTGAGCTACTGATTCAGTCGTGCGGTCTTTTTTAAAAACAGAATTTTCTGCTTCTTAGATAGAGCAGATTATGTCCTCATGGTGTCATTTAACATGTATCTCTAGCCACCATAGTTCCTGCACATACTTACATCTGTAGTCTGCTAGATTCAGCTCACGACTAATTGATTGATTGATTTCAAGAATCCATTATAGTAGAGCTGTATTCTTGCTTTTGTATGCTCTCAAGTGGTCCGTGTTGTCAGATCATCTTACTTTGTGATTAACATTTGTCCGTGGGTTCATGTATTACCTGTTTTTGAGTACTTCAGAGATGCTTTTAGCTATGGCACATTTTTTTTTTCTTAAGTCATTAAGTGAATTACTGTTATCCTTAGTTGGTAAAGGGACAAAATGAAGGCTAAGTCTATGCCCTTAGTACCAGCAGGATTGCCACTGATAACCACCTTGGTTTAGATGAGAATTAAGATGACTCTCGTCAGTCCTGTTCTGGTCAGTGTTCTGCATGACCCATTCACTGCAGTATGCCCTGTAACTGGGCCATACCTACTGTTGGAATATTAGAATGCTGTCTCCCAAGTAAGGATGACTTTGCCACCTAGGGGATTTTTGACAGTGTCTGCAGATGCTTTTGGTTATCGCACTTGCTGGAGAGGGCACTACTAGCGTCTGATGTGTGGAAAGCAGAAGTGGGTTACCAGACATCCTACAAGAAGTAAAAAGAAGGGCTGGGGATTTAGCTCAGCGGCCAAAGCGCCTGCCTGGTAAGCGCAAGGTCGTGAGTTCGGTTCCCGGTACCGGAGAAAAAACAAAACAAAACAAAACAAAAAGAAGTAAAAAGATAGCCTGTTCTTCCCCCTAAAGAATGACTTAATCCAGAATGTCAGCAGCACTGAAATTGAGAAAGGTCATATCAATGGAGGAAGGAAAGCATGATGGAGAATATAAAAATTCAGTGAGTTGCCTATGTTAACTTGGCTAGGAGCAAATTCTACCTTGTTAGCAGGTTGCCCTCAGATCCATTGCACTGTCTGCCAAACTCACACCTAGTACGAGTAAAGGAGTTGATTAAGTTGATTCAGTTTCAGGTAGAAAACTAAGGGTAAATGTCCAGTTCTTTGTAGTAAGTAGGTGTTTTTTCCCACCTTCTAAACATTCTTCTCTTTTCCCTTGTGGGAGGAATTAGCTTAATAAGCTAGAGCATCATTTTATTCAGTACATGTAATTTCTTTTCTTCGGATCTTGATATTCTCTGAAGCTAGTGGCTTACTGCCCCTGGTTTGGTGTTGCTTTTCCTCTCATTACATTGCTTCATCCTATTGAATGCCGCTGAAGCAAACATTGCCTACAGAACGACATTATGAGACGCTGTTATTGTATAACTTCACCCCAACAATATACACACACACTGCCTGACTGAGGAAGTGATCATCGTAAGATGGCAGATGCCTTGGGAGATTGGAAAGTTAGGTTGCTGTCTCCTTTGTGCTATTTTTAGCAACTGAAAATGCAGTAATTAGGATTTTGTGACACTTTTTCTTTTGATGGACCAAGTGGGAGAAAACTGAGTTTTTAATCTACCTCTACAGTTAGGGCTAAAGTAAATGTATTTCTTTCAGTTTGAGAGGTAGTGGTGGTGTGTGATGGTCAGGGTGTGGAGGGGAGGCAGCTGGCCTACCAGGGTGGGGATCCCACCTCATCACCCACAGCACCAGGGCGCAGAGCTGAAATACGGTGTTTCTCACCAGAAACACTCTTGCTCTTGAATTATTTCACTGCAAATAACCCAGTCTCTGTATATTGTATGGGAGGCTGGAGGGGAATGCTGGAAATAGTCAAACCTTTAAAACACCAAACTAAAACAGGAGGCAAAACTTGCAGGGTTTTGGAAGGAAAAAGATGTGCACCAGACGTATGAGTGGTGTCTCCCTTTTTCTTATACCGACTCAAGGCTTTCTTCCTAGTGTTGTAGATCCCTGAGCAGCAGTCCTCTGAAGGATTTGCATCTGTGCAGACCATGATTTTGATGTCCCACAATGTGTTCATCACAACAGTTTCCCACTGTGAGGCAACAAATGAGCTCTGTGATTGTATCTCTAGTAGAATGATTTTACCTAGAGGAAACGTCTTTAAAGTCTGGAAATTGGAATGGGATATTTGGTGGAAGGAGATGCCAGCTTAGGCAAATATTACAATTTATACCCCTAACAGTTCCCAACCGTGGCAAAGAGAGGTGGCTTAAAAACACGTTGGGTGGGAGGCTGAGAGATGTGGCGACTCAAGATAATAAATTTTTTATGGGCAACTTCTCATTTTTATTACTGCTTCCCTAACATTAATGGTATTTATTTCTTAGGCTGCATTGCGTGTAGATGATATTTAGACACACATTCATTTTTATTGGAGAAGAAGTGCCCTGGATGGTTTTTCTAAGCATTCTCATTTTTGCTGTGTTCGAGTCAGCACTCTGTAATGCTCCTTCTTTGCCAGTGGCTGGTTTCTGTCTTTGCTACTTTCTGCTTTTCCATTCTTTTTTTTTTTTTTGGTTTTTCTCTGGTACCGGGAACCGAGCTCACGACCTTGCGCTTGCCAGGCAGGCGCTTTGCCGCTGAGCTAAATCCCCAGCCCCCGTGCTTTTCCATTCTTTAGGATAAAAACCCTTGACTTCTTTTTTTGCCTTTCTTTGTCCTGCTTTTGGATGTACTTGTTGATGTTTTTCTTTAAATGTGCAAGAGGAGGGAAAGCAAAGGAAAAAGCTAATTCTTCACTCATGCCCTAAGTTTGTATATGGTTGTCATCATTGGTATATGTGTTTGTTATACTGTAGTACCAGAAGCTGTGCATAATATTGGGGGCCTGGCCAAGATACCCTACTGCCTGTATAAGGGGTACTGTGACAGGATGATATAAGAAACCGAGGAAAATTTACTAATGCATGAAGTGGGGCTGGGAGGTCAGTGCCTCAGGATGGACAGAGACAAAGACACTTTAAACCAGCCACTATTTATTGGGCGTGGACCATGATAGGAGGGCTAGCGGAAGACCCAGAGGTCAGTGATACATTGGGCAGTAGATAAGCCTGGGATGACTCAAGAGGGTGGAGATGATCTTATGCTAAGAAGGATCTTACCCTGGAGTGGTTTTTAATCTTAGTAGTCTCAGTTCAGTTTTAGTGGGTGGGAGAGGATGGCCCATCCCTAAAGACTTCATGGTAAATCTCAAAAGGTGATACTGATAATCTCAAGCCTCCATTTATCCCTCAGGGAAGTGTGCAATATTAACCATTGTGAATTTGTGGTCCCTAACAGGTAAAGCACTTGTAAGTATACTTTTCCATTTATTTTTGTTTTTTAGACAGCTTTATTGAAGTGTAATTGGAGTATAATCATATATATATATATGTAAATATGCTTTGATGAGCTTATTTTATTTACACATCTGAGAAACTACAGCCATAATGAAGACAGGAAAATAGGCATCCCTCCCCTAGTTTCCTCTTATCCTTAGAAATGCTTACTTTGCACCCCTCCCTTCTCATAGCCTCATCTGTAGGTAACTGTTGACATGCTTTCTGTCATTATGTATTAATTTACATTCCTTATAATTCTATGTGTGCAAATAGAGTTTACATTAAGAAATTTTAGATTCTTTCACTTAATTACTAATTAATTAGACATTCACCTATCTCAGCATATTCTCATTGTTCATTCAACCTACAAAGCTAATGGTCCATTGTATAGGTGCACCATTTTTTTTAATCCCTTAGCCTGTTGGTAGCTAAGGGATTAAAATAGTAGAGCTATTTATAGCTTTTTGGTTATTGCACATAAAACTACTGTAACATTTGTGGATAAATCTTTAAATGGGCATTGGCTTTTATTTCTTTTAGCTAAATCTTGGGATTGGAATATCTGGATCATCTGGTAGATGTGTGCTTAACTTTTGGAACACTGACAAAGATTTGTTTTTGTTTTTTCAAATTCCGATGTACTTCTTTGTATTCCCACCAAAGGTGTAGTAGGGTCCACTTTTGTGAATCTTTATCAACTCTTGATGTAGTCAGTCATTTCAGCCATTCTAATAGATATGTATTGGTACCTGATTATCCTTTTGATGTGAACTTTGTAGTCAGTATTAATGTTTAACACTTTTACATGGGTTCATTTGCCATCTATTCATGTTTTTGGGTGAAATATCTGTGTATTTTGCCCAAGTTTTAATTAATTTTTTTGTGGTGCTGGGAACTGAACCTAAGGCCTCGTGCATCATAGGGAAATACTCTGCCAGTGGGCTACATTTTCACCCCTGTTTTAAGTCCAATTAAAAAAATATATGGTTGGTTTACTGCATTTTGCAAGATATTGTACTTCAGTATTTTAGGTGCAAGTCCTTTTTGGATATGTGCTGTGCAAATGTTTATTTCAGTATGTAGCTTACCTGTTCACTCTCTTAATAGTGGTTTTTTTTTTGTTGTTTAACTTTTTTTATTTTAAAAATTAAAAAACTAGCAAAACAACAATGAAGACAAAATCAAAACAACACAAAAACAACAAAAATGATACATGACCTCAAGACAAAATGATAGAAATAATAGTGTTTTTAAAGAGAAGTTTTTGATTTTGATGAAGACTAACTTGTCACATTTTATTTACTCTATCCTACATATCAAGAAATCTTAACATAAGGTAGCAAAAGCTTTTTAAATTTCTTCTAGACATTTTATAGTTTTAGGTTTCCTACTTAGATTTATGATATGTTTTAAGTCCATTTTTGAATAAGATGTCTGGATTCTAGATCTTTTTTGCATGTGAATATCCAGTTGTTCTAGTATCATTTGTGGGAAGGATTTTTTTCCCACATTATTTGTTTTGGTGATGACATGGTTTTCTTTTGTTTTAGTTTATTGCTTTTTTTTTTTTGTTCTTTTTGAGACAGGGTCTCACTATGCAGTTCAGGCTCACCTTGAGCTCACTTTGTAGCCAAAGCTGACCTGGAACTTGGAACCATCCTCCTGCCTCAGCCTCCTGAGTGCTGGGATTATAGGCGTGCGCCACCATGCCTGGCTGTTTTAGTTTATTAAGGCAAATAGCATTTTGAAAAAATGCTATCCTGATGTCACATTCCTGTGATAAAGCCAACTTAGTCATGATCTGTTATGTATCTTGTTGAATTATTTATTAACATTGTATTTACACTAGTTGCATCTGTGTTTATTTGTCATATTGGTTATCATTTTCTTGTAATGTCTTTAATTTTAGTATTAATGTAATAATTACCACACAGTATGAGTTATAAAGTATCTCCTCTTCATTTTGGAAAAATATGTGTAGAATTGATGTCCTTTCGTCCTTGTTTGGTAGAATGTCCCAGCCATGTCATCTGGACCCAGAGTTTTCTTATAGGCTAGATTTTTAATTCCAAACTCAATTTCGGCAGCAGACACCAGGCTACTTATGTTGCCTATTTCTTTGTGAGTCTCTTTTAAGACATTTGTTCATTTTGCTTATTGAATTTATAGGTGTAGGATTGTTTCTGTTCCCTTTAATACGTCTGTTAAGTCTATAGTCTTCTGTTCTGCTAGCTGGGCTTTTGAAGGGTATGCTTTCTTTAATATGTTTAAAATCTGCAGTAACCTTTTGTATTTTTGACATTGGTCATTTGTGTTTTCTCCTTGATTTCCTAATCACTCTAGCTAGATTTACTAGTTCTACTGATCATCTCAAAGAACTATTTTTTTAATTGCTTTCCTTTATATCTTTATTTATTGACTTCTGTTCTGATCTTCTTCAGTTTACTTTGAGTTTCATTTACTTTTCCCCCTAGCTCTACCTTCAAAGTAAAGTTATTGGTTTGAGATTTTTTCTTTCTTTTTAATATAGGTGTCAAGCATTATAAAATTTCTCCTAACTCTGCTTTATCCTGATTCTCAGAATCTGATGTTGTATTTGCATTTTTTTTAGTTTTAAGTCCTTTCTAATTTCCCTTTATTTGTGGGTATTTAGTGATCTTAATGTTACTGGTTTTTAATTTTTATCAAGAAATGACTTGGACCCTTTTTAACTTAGATTTACTTTATGAGCCAGAATAAGGTTCATCTTGGAAAACAAATGGTCAGTATACTCTGAGAATGGTGGTTCTGATGCTCTGGGGTGGAGTGTGCTGTTGGTGAAGGACATGTAACTTAGATGAAATCGGTTGATAGTTTTGTTCAAATCTTCTGTATGCTTACAAAGTTTTTTGTCCACATGTTTTATTTAAATCTGTGATTTTAGTTGTGGATTAATCTGTTTCTCCCTTGCAATTTATTAGCTTTTGAGTCATATACTTTGAAGCTTTGTTACTGGGTCCATGAACATTTACAGTTGTTGTAGCTTCTTGAAGAATACAACTTTTTATCAATATTAAGTAAACTTTAACCCCGGTGGTACTCTTTGCTTGTGCATATGTTTAATATTTTTGTATGTGTGCATCTTTGATTTTGATTTTAAATGTTTGAGGAGAAATTTCTAGGTTACAGAATTTCAAACTTGCAACAGTTCTTAGTATCTTGCCAGATTAACCTCCAGAAAATCTGTGCAGATTGATACTTGTCTAAGTGTTATCTACATTTTTTGTAAAATTTGAAGATCTGGTTTTGTAAAATTTAAGATATTAACAAGGTTTACTGAACTATAACATTCTGTTTATCACAGGATAGAATATATTACCATTAATATAATTGGTTTTCTAGAAAATTAAAATGCCATGTATATTCTTAGATTGCTGGTTTTGTTTTATATCTTTTACTTTTAAGGCATAAATTAAAAAGTCATCAATTTTTCATGTTTCTTTTATCAGACAGGTACAAAAATAAAAGTTTTGTATTGGAGATACTTAAGAGGGGAGGATTTGGTTTGCTTAATCTCTTTGTCTCTGCATCTGTCTGCCTGCCTGCCTGCCTTTCGCTCTTGCTGCCACTCTCTTGCTCTCTGCCTTTCTTGCTCTCTGCCTTTCTCCCTCTCTCCCTTTATCGCTCACTGGGGACCAAACCATGGGACTGCCAATAGACCATCTCCTAGCCCTTTTCCATGTATTTTTTATGGTCCCTTTAACATCTTAAAGATGATTCTCAAAATTACATGCCTATATTTGGTTAGATAGAGTTTTTGCCTTTAAATATGTGTATGGAAGAAAGTCACATACATCAACTAGATGTTCATAAAGGTGCTTTCCAAGATTAGATATAAAATAGCTGATAGAGATTTGTGGCTGCTTAAGCTTTGATAGTACCTGGTACAAATAGCAGTTAATATAGCAATTCACTTGATTTATGTATATTTTTGATATGTAAGGTATTCCCTAGAGAACTTTTCTACATTAACTAGGAGATGCACAACAAATTTAACAACATTTTGTGAAGAAAATAAACACATAGGTGTCCTGTTTGGATTCGTCTGGTAATTCTGAGCTGTTCTTTTTATATAGGAGTCTTCCAGAACCTCTCATGACCTATGAGTTACATGGAGATTTCATTGTTCCAGCCAGTAAGTATTCTGTAGAGGGTACAGACAGAGTTTTGTGTCTTGCAGTGTATATAAACTAAAAATTTCCATATGAAAAATTTATCTTAGTGTTATTGTGTTCTGTTAAAAATAGAAATCACTTTAGAAGGTGGCTGATTGTTCCCTGGGAAAATAAGACAATGCTTATTCATTCATTCATGAATATTAATTATTCTTTATTGTGTGAATTCATTGGTGTACTAGATATGTAGACCCATGACAGAATTCCTGCCCCTAGGAGCAGTTTCTTAGCAAGGATTGGGGCATATGTGCTTCTTGTTATGCTATAAAATATATAATAATTGCATGAACAGAATGCTTCCAGAACACAAAAGTATTTCGCTTGCAGGAGGTTGGAGAGATTAGCAGATTTGGAGAGATTAGTGGGTTAGAGATAGTTTACAAAGACATTTGAATGGAAATTATAGACAGAAGGAATATTATGAGATAATGCGAGAAGCCCAAACAATATTTAACAGAGTGAATTATATCTGATAAAACGTTAAAAGAGAAAGGCCTGTAATTGGTGGAATTTTAATTTGTGATTAGATTTTTGTGAGTCATACTCACATAAGGCTTTTTTGTTTTGTTTTATCATACAGCTCACTTTTTATAATTGACATATACTGTTTAATCATCTGAGTCTTCTGAAGTATCCTGGTGTTTGGTATTTAATATTTAAGGAAATGAAGGTTGAGACATGTTAAGTAAACTACCAGATTCATAGGGAACTGAATGTCAAATCAAAACCCCAGTTCCCCTGGCTAAACCCTCCAGTATTGGTTTGCACAGGTGCGCTGACAGTAGCTGAAATGGTATTTTAATTTCCTTTTATTTTTTTTCCCCTTGGATGTGTTCCAGAGTTTAATCTGTTGAAAAATTTAGAGCAGTCCCTTTGGGTCCTATGTGCTTGCCGCCTGAACATGGCTTTAAAGGTTGTCTACTTGTGAGGTCTTTCCTCCAGCCAGGCTAAAGTTACTGGTACACTGGAGAGACCAGCAATGTGTAGGCGCCCTTGGACTACACCTATAAAACGGGTTTTTGGAAAAGGCAAGAATATGGTTCTGTTCAGTTTTGTTTCCACATGGATGAAGAATTTTTTTTTTCCCCTTAAAGAGAATTTATGTGATCAAGGAATCAAGGAAGTGGGGGAAAATTTTCTTGGCAAAACCTCAAGCAAATGCTTAGTTGTTTTGATTTCTTCCCTGTGGCATTTTTGGCAAACTAGGGAAAGACAAATTAAACTTAGTTGGAGGACAATTGTTTCATGTTGTTTGCCTTAGAGACTGGAAAAAGCAGAATGGTGCCAGCTTAATCTAGAATCCTTGGGAGGATGGAGAAAGATAACGTGATTATGAAATAAAGTTTTAATTATCAAAAGTTAGTGTCACAAATACCTATAACTGGAAAAAAAGTGTTTGACATTCTAATATCAGTGGATTTTACTAGGTAAGGAAGTTCCTACCTTTTAGGAACTTCTAAAGAGATAATGAAGTCCAGGTAGATTTTGTTGAAGGTATTTTTGAACTTGGTGATGCGAAGAATTGTACAACTGCAAGAGATTCATTGTTGGACCAGTACTTTGTGTTTTGTTTCCTGACTGCGGTGATTCTATAATAGTCTTTATAATGAATTAAATAACAGAACTGTTCCAAAGGAGTACTGCAGCTACTGTGATTATTGGCATGGGCCTTACTAAGTTCAGTTGTGGTTGGAATGTAACCTTATTTAACGAGAAAAAGTACATGTGCTAAATGGGTTTCTTTTCAGGATCCAAGGATTCCAGGGTAGAGTTTAATTTTTCCTGCCTCTCATGAGGACCATTCTTGTACTTAAGAGAGAATGAGGGAACAGATCCTCAAATCTTTTGCATATGTTGAATAAAACAGTTACAGAACTCATTGACTGAAATTAGTCTCCCCCTCTGAATAGTGTTAGAAAATGGGGATTATGGTTTAAGTTATGATTCTCCATTAACAATGGCACAGCTTACCTTGTTTTGCTAAAATGTCTTATTAGCTAAGCTGATTGCTAAAATTATCGAGCCTCACCGGTCTTTGTTACCGCCTCACATACCAGCATGGAAACTAAGTTCTGATTCTTTTCCGTCATGTGCTGTGGTTCCCATCTGTTCTGTGGTGTTGAGCTTGTTTCTTCTCTCCTCCTGCTGGGAGTCCTGATGGTTTTCCCTGGCTCCCTTAGTTTTCTGTCATCAGTTACTTTCCTGTAGTCTTCTGTTGAGAACCTCTAAGTTAATTTCTTGAGTTCATTATACAAACACGAATTTCCTTTCTGTGTTGTTGCAATGGCAAGCAAAAAGATTGAAACAGCACCCAGGATTTGGAGGCACATTTCTTTATGTGGATAGGCACAGATCAGGATTATTTACAGAATATCAGTTCCTGATTTCTTGTGCTCTGGGGCTTACATGGGATAAGCAAGCAGAAATTACAGAGGCAGAATGGCTTGTCTGTTGGGGATTGGTTTATACAATGTGCATTATAGTGACCAGCCATTTTTAAGAGACAGAAGCAACCGGAACTGGAACAGGAACTACTGTATTACCTGGCAGCTAAGAAACTAAAGTATACTGGTGGGGGGCTGGGCATTTGCTGTTACTGTCATCTCAGAAAGCCAAGTTTTTTGGTCCCTTGTTCCAAAAAGAAATGAATTTACTGACTTAGTACTGAATGCTAAATAGGCTGGAAACAAAAGAATTGTTTTTCTTTCAGAAAATTGAAATAGTGAAACCGTTAGCTAGTTTGTTCAAATTACTGGAAGGATCCTAGAGAACATCCACTCTGTGAGAATCCCATACGGTGCTGGATTTTGGTATAGAAAATTATAAGATAAAAATCCAGTTTACTTGGTCTTTAGAGGAAGGCAAAAGATTGTGTCTGCCTGTAACCTCGGAGTCCTGATACGTCATTTTGGTGAGCTTGAAGCCCTACTTCTGAGTTGGATTCACATTAAACCTAGCACAAGCAGAACAAGTAAAGCCTGGATGCCTTCTCATCATTTCTGATGAGAAACATGAGTATTACAGGGTCCAGTGCATTGGTGTTTGCCTAACCAGAGTGTTGTATCCTTGCTGGTAAATCTGCATAGGGAACAAGGCAAAATCATGTGATTCTTGGTGGGGAAGCGTTCAGAAACTGGAAACCAAAGGAATAGAATGTTTAAGGGCACCTGTGTCCCCTAGTGTGGTGTACTCATTTCATAGTAGACAGAGACCTCAGAAGTGGTGGAATGCTTGGTGTCTCTTGACTGAAGCTCTGTCGTCCCTTGGGAAATGTTTCTTTAAATTACAGCATGATTGACAGCGTTTCAATATGAAAAGATTTAGCATTTATCTGCCTGTGTATCTTTGAGAAGTTCCAATAAGTATGATCCTCTCTTTTTATCAGTGTTAACTGTAATAGTATCATAAGCAAATAGATATTAAAATATGATAAATGCTTATTTAAAGTTTCACGGTTAAAATACTTTTTTTTATTGCAGTAAACTCATAATTCCCTGGCAAATTTCAGGAATTTAGTATATAATTAATTATTATAGATTTAAAAAATGTTAAGCCTCTCAGTTTTTGTCAGATAGTACCAATTAAAATATAATAATACATACAGCATAAGCAGATGAAGATAACTTTTATTTCTTTGTAGTTCTTGGGATTGAACCCAGGGCCTTTTACTGAGCTACATCTCCAGCCTTTTCCGTTTGTTTGTTGTTATTTTTTTGGAGTCAGGGTGTCACTAAGTTGCCTATTCTTTGCTCGAATTTGTGATCCTCCTGCCTCAGTCTCCCAGAGTGCTGGGATGATAGGTATGTACCTGGAGTAATTTATTTTGGAAAAGCTTGCAAAGATTTAAATTATATTGTAGCCATATGGAAAATGTTTGTTAATAGAAAGATCTGATTAATGTCAGAAATAAATAAAAAGAGAGGAAAGTATTTTATTTCAAGCTTTACTGAAGTACTTTTCTTTCTTTCTTCCTTTCTTTCTTTCCTTTCTTTCTGTCTTGTCTTTTCTTTTTTTTTTTCTTTCTTTCTTTCTTAAGAGAAAACACCTTGGAAAAAGATGTATTTGATTTCAAAGAATTGCTTTGGGCTAGCAGCACAGGGTCTCTTAAGAAAGAAAGTGGAAGGTTTTGACTCTGTTTTTCTAAACTGAGTATACTGTTTTTAGAAATGAAGGACCTTATCCCTAGAGGATGGGAAACAATTTCTATAGCTTGTGTTTCTGAGTAGGTAATGAATTCTAAAAAAATTTAAACTAGGTATTCATTGGAGAAAGATAATTATTAATGTTAAAATAGACTCCTGAGTTAGAAGTAGCCTTTTAGTACAAAGTTTTCAAATATTTTTAGTTTTTGAAACACACAATTCTCATCCTTCTAAAATCCTTCGAAATTTTTGACTACTATTTCAGAGTTCTGCTTTAATTGTTTTGTAGTCAAAGCTGTGGAATGAAGTTCTGTTTCTGTTGCTTTCATTTTCTGCAATACTGATGAGTGCCGTGGTCATAACTCTAGATGTTGAACTGGGCTATAATTTATTACCTCTTTATGCTGTGTAGTCTGTATTTAAAAGTTTTTTGTTTGGTGATATGACTGAACTGTTTGTGCTCTGCTTCATCAAATGCTTTTTAGTTTCTTAGCCTCTTTGCTTCCATTGTTTTTAGAGGTAACTGTCTGAAGATTCTCTTGTAAATCCTAGTTCCTTACTCTCAGACAGTATTGCAGGGAGTACACACTGGAACACCTTCGACTTTACAAACATTAGGAGCAACTTGAATGGTCATAAAGTTGATGGTGTGGCGCTCCACTTAACGTCAAGGAAAGCTGTACATAAGGTGAAGATCTACCAGCTTACTCTATGGTGACATTTCTTATGGGTTATTTTTAATTCAAGCAAATTTTGTCAAAGTGTAACAACTGTACACAAATGTGTACAGTTAACGAATATCCTTAAAGTGCAAATATGCATGTAGTCAGCCTCAGGTCAAGAAATGAAACATTATCAGAACCTCAGAAGCCCTTCATCACTGTCCACTCTTATGAGGTACCACCACTATCCCAACTTCTCACACATTTCATATTGGCGGTGGTGCATTTACACTTCGTGTGAGTGGAGTCAAATGACTAATCTGGCTGCTCATCTTTTGAGTCATCCATACTGTAGGAAACATTGGTCCATTCACCTTCATTGCATTCCATTGTGTGAATAGAACACAGTACGTTTATTGATTTTATGATGAATGGACATTTGGTTTGCTTCCAGTTTGGGGTGTTTCCAGAGATTGCTGCTGTGAACATTCTAGTGTGTGTCTTTTAATGGACATTGATTTGCATATCTCCATGTTATGCATGAATAAAGTGGAATTTTGGGTCACAGGGCCTGTTTGTTCAGCTTTAGTAATACTGCGGAGCACTTTCTCCAGAGCAGTTGTGCCATTTAATCATTTCCACCTATGGCTGAGGGTGTAGCTCAGTGGCTTGTACTCTGAGAACCTGGGTTCCATCTCCAGCATACCCCTACCCCCAAAAATCCCTACCTAGTCAGCGTATAAAAAGTTGGAGTGGCCTCAGACTCTTGTCAAAGCTTAGTCCTCATTAAAAGCTCTTTTGGTGGATAAGTGGTAGTTTCTTACTGTTCTGTAAAAATTTCTAATGAAGGTTTAAGTCCATATTTATGCTTACTGCTCAGATGTATAAATCTTTTGTGAAGTTCTACTCTAGTGTTCTGCCTGTTTTGCTTTTAATAGCAAAATGTATTTTATGTTTTCTTAGTTTGTTAGTACATGTGTGTATTACATAACGTTTACATTCTTTGTGTGGAGTGTACCGAACAGATCTTAATTCCTGTTTTCATGCTCTTTCTCTTCCCTCCCTACCCCTCCCCCATTACTGTGACCCCCACCTTTTTGTTCAGTATATGTTTGCAGTCCATAATGTTTACATTCCTTATATGGAGTTGGTTTTGCTTTTTCTTGTTGGGTTTTCTACTCTCAGCCTTGGATTGATTGTATAAGTTCTTTATAAGTCTTGATTGCATGTTATTTCACACATATTTCAGTTTTTAGTGATTGTTTTAACTTGGTTTATTTTGTGTTACCTAAAATTTCACAGAACAGATATTAATATTTATTTATTTATTTGTTTATTTTTGTCTTTTCAAGATAAGATCTCACTATGCAGTTCAGGCTGGCCTTGAGCTCACTTTGTTGTAGCCCAGGCTGGCCTCGAACTCACAATGATCCTCTTGCCTCAGCCTCTTGCGTTCCGGGATTACAGGCATGCACCACCATGCCCGGCATTTAATTTTCTTTAAAAAAAAAAAAAAAATACAATTTCACTAAAAGTTACAATAAACTGAGCACCTAATTCTTACCAAGTCATTTTGACATTCTTGAAAACTACCTTATCTTCATTAATAAGCATTTTATTGATTTGCTTGATAATTTCCCCATCAAGGACACAATAAAGGGATCTGCATATGTTGGTAATAGGAGCACCTGATAGCAATTCCAGAGTTTAAGGGGCGTGGGGAATATGTTAGTTTCTCAGGGCTGCTTTAGACAGAAGTACTGGAAACAGAGTTTTCTTTTGCCATAGTTGAGGTGGCTGGAAGTCTGAACTGGAGGTATGTTCTCCCTGGTGCCTGAAGGATGAGGATCCTTTCTTGCCATCTGACTTTCCATGGTTCCTGGAAACTCCAGTTCCTGGGCCTGCAGTCTTCGCTCTGGTCGTGGCCTCTGTTGTTGCATGACGTCCTCCCTTGTGTCTGCTTTTCCTTGGCCATCTTCCCTCAGTCTTTGCTTTCTTACTAGAACACTAATCTTGCGGAAGTAAGGGACCCTCCTGAGATCATCTTACATGACAGCTGCAGGGACTATTACCCAGTAGGGCTATGTATTAAGGGTGGTGTTGAATTCCGATAATTTGACATCTGAGGCCTCATTGCCTCTTCCTGGCCTTGCCCTGTTCCTAGAGACAAAAACCCCAGGGTGCTTTGCATCTGCAAACCATGCAGTCTTAGCCCCTCCAGCAGGCTGGGCTCTCTTGCTCCAGGCCAGTGTTCTCCTCCCTGAGTGCCTTGGGGTCAGGTGCCAGGGGACTGGGGACAGCTCCTTTGCCTCAGAGCTTAAGGAAATCCTCCCAACCAGCTAGCCATCATAGGCCTGCCCTCTGTGGCCCAACAAGGCTTGCCGTGCCTTCCATTTCTAGGGTGGTAGGAGTATACACTCTTTTTTTAAGTATACATTTATTTCCCTGTCTTACCACAACTGATCAAGCCATACTCTGAGGTCCTCAGAGTTAGAACTTCAGCATGTCTCTTCGGAAGATCCAGTGAAAACCTTGGTAGGGAATCATCTGTTCGCTGGTAGCTGGCTTGCATCCCACTGTGGGCTCCCTTGACGGGACCCCATCAAGTGAGCCATGAGCTGACTTGAAGCATACATGGAGGCAGGAGAAGCTGTCGGAGCCGTCCGCTGTCAGACACAAGCTGGGAGAAAGGTGGTAATTTCAGCAACGTGAGCATTACCTGATAGCCAAAGCCAGGGCAATAGGTCAATAATGGTGGGAAAGATAGGCTTTCTGTTCACTTTTGAAGGTGGCAAACTAAGGTCACACTATTTTTAGATACTGAACGAGTACACTGTTATAGTTGTTTGGGGGGAACTATTTGATTCTGAGTACTCTATTAACTGTTTTCATTTTCTCTTCGCAGAAAGTGGCAGCCCAGAATCTCGAGTCAATGCCATCCATTTCTTGGTGCACAAACTTCCAGAGAAGAATAAAGAAATGTTGGATATTTTGGTGAAACACTTAACAAAGTAAGGCTCTTTTCCTCATTTCACACTGTCCACTTTGCCGAGGGTGCCGTGCCTCGTTCTCGCGCTAGAGCCGAAGCTGTACACACAATACCAGGGACCACTCTTGGAAGGGCAGGCCGGACGTTTGACTCATTTTGTGTGTTTTGGACAAGAGTGGTGAAATATGATGTTTCCATGAAGTTGTATAATTATTTGCTTAACATCACTGCCAGCAACTCAGGGTTTGATCTGAAGTGAAAGAAGAGAGTGTTATATATTTATTGCCCCACATGCAGGTTCTGGAACTGTGAGACTGTTAGCAAATGTAGCTTGGTTTCACACCTACCTAACTTCTCAATTTGAACGTGGCCTTTAAGTTTAATCCAGTAATGGGCAGTTATTTCACGGTGTCCATTCTTTTTTTCTCCGTCTTTAAAAAGCAAACAAAATCTAATAATTCAGTGGGGAAATTTGCCTTGTTTTCAAATGTAAATGACTTTGATCATTTGTAACTGTAAATTCTGGCGGTGAGACGAAGGCAAGGAGCATTGTTTTAGAACTCTTACACAAAGAAAGACTGAAGGCTTGAGGATATTGTGACTTGCCAGAAATATAACTATTCATTTATTTGATCCCAAAATACTTATTTAATGTCTTTTAGTGCCAGTGGGTACACATTTGAACAGGATAAAGTCCGTACTTTCATGAAGCTTACTTTCTCTGGGGAAAAGATAAACAGATAACAATTAAAATACAAAAAATTTGAGATGATAAATACCCCGCCCCCCCATACAGTCAGGGGGAAAGAATATGTGTGGAATGTGAGGCCCTGGATCTCTTTGGGAATGAAGTCTTTGTGTTGAGACTGAGACCTGAATTCGGTGGTGAGCTTGTAGTGTTCACTGCATAACGATGCTAGGCTTCAGGAGCGAGCAGGGTGCTCTGATCAAGCGCCATAGGCTTGTGAGGCTAATTCTTAACACAGGTGCCTTAACACAGTCCCTGGAAGTGAGAGTATAATGACCTGCGGCAAGACAGGGTGTTGTAACCAAGAAGGAGAAGTAAGACAGCAGCTGCGGCCTCTGCGTGTAGGGTGTGGTCTGGTCTGGGGAGGCCAGAGGGAAACACCTACGACAGGTTGAGTTGCATGACGTCCTGTGTCTAAGGGAACAGAGTTGTATAATTCTGTGCATTCTGTGATTCTAGCCCCCTCATTAAACAGATCTTTTTTCCCCTCCCTCATCAATACTAGCGTTTCCAATCACTCCAAGCAGAATCTAATGACTGTGGCAAATTTAGGAGTGGTGTTTGGACCAACGCTGATGAGGCCACAGGAAGAAACCGTTGCTGCCATCATGGATCTGAAGTTTCAGAATATTGTTGTGGAGATTCTAATTGAAAACCACGAAAAGGTAAAATGGTCTTTTTTTTCCCTCCTCAAGAGAGTTCTTTCTTTTGTCTGGTCACTGTGTAATGATCATTATCCTCTCAGATTCATTTTTCTCTGCATCTCTGGCCCGCCCGCCTTCCTTCTCTCCCTCATTGCTACGATGAGTTTGTTCCTAACAAGTTCTCTGGTGGAGTGCTTGCACATCTGAACCTTACCTGGTCTTAAAAGAAATATTTAATCCAAACGTAGATGAATACTGGCTGCGTGATAGTCAGTTTGGATTTTTTGTGTTGTTGTTCTCAGTCCTAGCCTTGGATTTCTCCCTCAACTTCTGTGTGCTGCAGCACCCTTGAACTTTTGATCAGGTTAGAGCTTTGCGGTTTAGAAAATAAGAGAAAATAAGGCAAATACAGTTAAAAGGGTTTCAGAGGGAGGAAGAAAATTGTTTTTGCTGTGACAAAATAACCGAGATAGATTAACTTTGAAGGAGGAAAAGTTTATTTTGGCGCATGTGTTCAGAGCCCTTGATTGCTTGACCTCGTTGCCCTGGGGCCTGTGGGAGTGTGGAACTTCAGGGCAGGAGTCCACAGCAGAGCAGCTATTCCCTTTGTGGAGAGTGGCAAGCCCCAGCGAGGGAAAGGGGGCCGGTCCAGAGAGCCCAGTCAAGGCCAGTCCCCAGTGACCCAAGTTCCTGCCTTAGGTCCCACCTCTTACACTTAGGGCCACCTGGGATTAAGCCTTTAACACAGGGGCCTTTGGGGGGACACTCAGGATCCAAACTATCAAAGGGCGATGAGTGTCGCTGAGTGCGTGTGGAGGCCAGGCTCCCCCGAAACCTGCTGGCCAGGGCAGGCATCTGTTTGCTCCGCAGTTACCACGGGCACCCAGCCTACAGAGGACTTTCCTGGCTGGACCAGCTGTTGTGGATAGCAAGTGAAGGGGAAGTTGGAGAAGGGTAGCCCCTTCTAGCCTCCAGCAGCATGGCTGGCCAGCTGGGAGCTGAGAGCACATACTCCTGGGGTCAGGGCACAGACAGCTTCACTGTACTCTTCTCTCTTATCATATCCTTGGGAAACCCTGTTCTGTTTTATTTTTATTGAGACGTAATGTTTGTTTGTCTTTCTGGGGTGCATTACAGTAATCCAATACATGTGTACAATGTGTAGTAATAAAATCAGGATAATTAGCATTTCTTGTCTTCAGACAAGCATTTTTATGTGTTAAGAATCTTGTACTCTTCCAGTCATTTTGAAACATCATAGATTTTTTAAAACATAGTTACTCTACTGTGCTGAGGAAGAACCAGAAATAATTGCTCTATGCTGTGTTCAGTGCCCTGTACTGAACTTCTTTCTGTCCGCTCCTCGTGCTATTCCTTGTCTCTAGTGACCAGTGTCCTGTTCTATTCCACAAACTGACTCACTGATTCCTGTAAATGAGTGAGAATGTGTGGAGTTTGTGTTTTTGCTCTCACTCACTTTACTTCACATAATGACCTCCTATCCTGTCCATGTTGCTGTGAATGATGGGGTTTCATTATTTCTTATGGCAGAATATTCCATCATGCATATATGCCAGTTTCTTTTTCTGTTTGCCCATCGAAGGGAATCTGGATTGATTCACATTTTAGTTTTTGTGAACTGTGCAACATTTACAAGATGTGATCAAAATATATGATGAATGGTTAAACGTAAAAAATTTACTACTGTAGAAGACACGTTGCCATTAGTCCTCCTCAGATTATTTCCCCTCTCTTTAGAACTACCTATCATTCTTATCACTTTCTGAAGCATTGTGCAAATCCTGTTTCTTTAGTGTCTTTAGAAGGTGTGATTTAAAAAAACCACAGCGAATGCTTCTAGGTATCTTCCCAAAAGACTTAAAAGACATCCTGTCACAGAGATAAGTGCAACTCTTTGTTTGTAACAGCACAGTTCATAACAGGTGAATCGTGGAAGTAGCCTATATGACCGTCAAGAAATGAATAGGTCAAGTTTGGCATTTATACACAATGAAGTACTACTCTGCCATAAAGAAGGATAAACTTCAGTCATCTGTAGAAAAATGAATGCATCTTGAGACATAATAGTGAAATAAATCTGACACACAATTTAAGTATCACATAACTTATTAGAAAAACACAAAATATAAATAACTTAGAAACAAAATATAGATGTAGGAAACAGGAAGATCTTTGGCAAAGGGCATCTGAGATGGAGGAAAGGGAGAGACAGGGAAAGGAAGGGGAATAAAAAGAATCACAATATGTTGAGTACCTTTACCTACTTCTCAGGATGAGTATGAACAGAATGTCCTGCAGACAAGCACTAATACAAAAGATAGGGTGAATGCTGCTGCCAAGGGCCTTCACACAGAAAGGCAGGTGTCTGTCTTTTCTCAGAGCTGAGAATGTCCAGAGTTAAAGGAGGAAAGGTTTATTTCAGCTCATAGTTCATAGTGATTTCAGTCCATATTTGGCTGGATCCAAAGGAGGGTGGCATAGCAGAGGAGAACCAGTCTGTGGCAGGCAGAAGGCAGCAGAGAAGTGAAGAAGCATCAGCAGCAACCAAGCCTGACTTTTTATATTCCCTTCAGGCTGCCTGCCCTTTGAGTGGTGCCACCCATTCCCAGGGTGGAGCACCCTTAACCCCATGTCACACTCTTCCACCATCACACACCTTGGATCCAGCCACCTTAGAAAAACCCCACCTATGACTGCATGAGGCTTTAGGGGAGGATGTCTGGACACAGCCGTATCAGCAGGATCATAAGAACACAGTGGTGTGTCCTCTTCCCTGGTATTAATTGAGTCTAGCACCGTAGGACTTCTGGCTCTTCCCCAAAGTCAAAACGACCATGAAAGGTAAACTTCTTGCATTAATTCAGAATATCTAGGCAGCCTCCACAGCATGTGTTATTGTGACCTTGTGATCCTTTTTAGAGCATTATTTTTTTCCCCTCAGTCCCATATCTGAGTGTGTATCAACAGAGTTGGGCAGTTAGAACAGAGATCGGATAGCCCACAAGGCAGAAATATGTGCTTTCAGGCCCTTTATAGAAATGCTGGTAGATCCCTGCTCTAAACTGAGAATTTTTAACCCTGTTGAGCCATCAGAATCACCCACGGGACCTTTTTAAATGGTTGCGTAGCTGTTGATATTTGTTGAGTTTTCGCAGTCATAAGGATCCCATGAATCAGTCAGCAAGGAAAGCAGCTGGCTGAGGGAGTGGGTGTCTCCTCTATATCTACTAACTTCCACACAGAGCTTCAAGCTAGAACATAGGGGAAGGTTTCGTTCACATGCGAGAGGTGTTTGTTTATAATAGTTAAAGCAGGATGGAGTTAGATCCTCTGCTAGTGTTAGGTCCGCCCATGGCAATTTGTGTTTGGTTTCAGAATATGGAGCGCTGGTATCCACTAAAACAGTTTTCTCAACTTCCCTGGGTGGACGTGTGGGCGGTGGTCCCAGACACTGCTGTGTGGCATGGTTCATGAGGCCGTCATGTGCTGTTTGCCCCCTGTCTCCACGCCCTCAGGATAAAGCTTCTACCTACTGAGAAAAGTGAAGGTGCTGACTTGGGATTAACAGGATTAGCAGGAGCACACTTTCACTATTAACAGTGGGAGACAGAGTTTTTCAAAAGCATTTCTGCTTTAGAGCAGTGCTTCTTCGTATTTCTGGGATCACAGACCTCTAAGAGGCTGACCGACATAACTAACCCTCTCTCCACAGGAAAGTGCGCCTTTCTGCCTATTTCCCCTCAACAGTGCTCACGATTTCAGGGGTTCCCCCACTTCTCTGAACCTGTGGGCTCTGAGCTAAGACTCTGGTTTAAAAACAATAATCTTTTAACTGACCTGTCTTGTGACTTTTGTCTCTATAATCCAGGGAAGATGTGATTTAAAAAAACACTGTAGACTCTTTAAGAGCTTCTAGATTTTGTTTTTTTTTGTTCTACTAATTATAGTTCAGTGACTTGCTGATAACGTTCTTTGCTTCCATTTGTAAGACAAGAAATTTGAAAACTCTTAAAATGACCACTCTGTTGTGTATTAAAAGGCTTTTTAAAAATTGAGATTGTGTTGTATACCAAGTATAACAGGCGCTAGAATGTAGAGATGAAATTTTATAGCCTCTGGTAGACAGTGGTCAGTTTGGGGTGGGAGCCATAATACTTTGTCCAGGCTAATAGATTGTGTAACTTACTGTCTTAGCTGACTGTTTCTCTCTGCTAACCTTTTCAGGGCAGAGATCTTTTGTATACTTAGGATTATACCTGGTAAATAGTAGGTGCTCAGTGAATATTTATCCAGTGCATTAACACATTCAGTACATTTTGAGGGAGTTAAAGGCATGGGAATGAGACAGGAAATAGAGCTATATACTCCCTGTGGTGAATTGACAACTGGTGGTCAACTTGTAACACCTGTCTAAACTGAATCAGTGAGGTGCTTGCGAGGTGTAAAAGGGCCCACCTGAGGATTGTTGCTAACAGCATAAAAAGAAGAACTGGAGAGGAAGCAGAGGTGCTGTTAGGGAGCTGTTGCTTCTGGAGGAGCTGGTTGTAGTGGCTTTCCTGATACGAACACAGCTGTTCTCATCATTGAAGGAGCTTAGGACCTTGTTGTGACTGAATGGCTACAGTTCACTCTGGGGGAGCTCTGGTCTTTACTTTGAGCATCACGTCCTGGCTCCAGAGGGAAGATGGTGCACTGTTCAGTGTCCTGGAGAAACTTGTCATGCTGGCTTTCCTGATATAGACTTGGATGTTCTCATCATTGGAGGAGCTCGGGACCTCGTTGTTGCTGAGGATGACTGTGATACTTTTCAGGGAAGCTCTGGTTTTTACTTCGTTGCTTCCTGGCTCCAGTGCGGATCCCTCAGCCTGCTAGCACAGGTCCTTCATCCCACTGGCACAGAATTTCTTGCTTCCACCACTGACTTTGGGCATTCCCAGTGCAGATCCGTGAAACAGACTTGCATGAAACATTGTTATGGACTCTAGGCCTCTAGTTGGATT